AGAGCTGTTCCAAACAAAATTTCTTTTTGTTTTACACTTGTGTAAACAAAATGACAACTAAATCTGTCTATATGTTTATAACTCTACGATAAAACCATACATATAATATGATATAATTCAGTCTGATAAACTGCCGTTGACTCCTGTCACAGCGTAGGAAGCGGGACTTTACGATGCGTCACTCTTTACTTTGCTTATTTCTGCTTGCATAACAACATGGCGACTGCGACAGAGCAATGCTTTAATGATTCCCTTTCCTGATGTCCAAAGTGAGATCGATCTAATGTTAAAATCATAACAACAGAAATCCTTTGATCCATTTCTTATTAAAAAGGATGTATATGCTATTTTCAGCTTGACATGTTTTATTAACTACAAAATTAAAAAACAGAGTTGCTTGAAGTTTTTGCATAACATTCGTAGTTCTCTGATTGGTTCTAACTTGATGAAGCTGACCCCGTTAGTCCCGCCTTTAAAATCAAGCTACACCAGCACTTGACTAGACTGATACACAGTCCATACATCGTATCAGACTAGAAAATACTTGGTCAAAGATATTCTCCATCTAATCTGACGGTTTAGGTATTTGGCAAAAAGTGGGGCCATAATGTTCATCTTCAGAAGTGCAAAGCTGGCAGAGACGAATCCCAGAAGACTTGCAGCTGCAAGAAGCAGACTGGCTTTTAAGTGATGCCTCCACACAATCAGTTGGGTTTAGTACTGTATGTCACCCAGTAAAGTGCCAGGTCAACACTTTTCCTACTTAACCCAACGGGTGGAATGGATGAACTTAATATCTCCTGCAGACGTCAGTAATGCAAGGGATGCAGCTGTAACTGATCAAGACAACCTCCTAAGAAGAATTTCAGCCATTAGGTGTCAAACAGCCCATTCCAATAATAAACAATGGCTTTGGGACCGGTGGTCAATAGTGTTAATAGTAGTTGTTGGCGTGTTATTTGACTCTCTGGGTTGGAAGAGACGAATTATTTTTATTTCCAGGTGCGACTGGTTTCCAGCCATCATTGGGTGGAAAAATTGGCTGTTTGCTTAATAAAATAACTGCATAATTTTGTAAGACTGAAAGTGGCTATGGTAAAACATTCCAGGCATAAACACATCCTGAAATATGAATCTAAGAATACATTCAGAAATAGTTTTTTTTTATAAGGTCGGCAAAATATGTTCAAATATGTTCAACATTGATCTTGTAACGCTATAAGTGTTCATGGGAGAGACAGAGTGCAGGAAGAGACTGTCTGTGGAAAAAGTCTAGAGTTGGGAAGCAGAGAGGTGGCTGTTGTTCTCCTAACCCCCGACCTGAACAAGTGGAGAGAGGGAGTCAACCCCAATAATCGTCTCTGCAGACAACACATTTTTTCAGTCTGACCCAGTCTTGGTTTGTGGATGAGCCAAACCACAGAAGATCATCACAAAAGGTAGTTGATTGAGCAAACAGATGTAAAAGAGAGCAAGAAGATAAAAAGTATTTTTTTCTATTTGGGTTAAATTTAGGCCTGAAGCTGAGTGCACTTTATGCTTCATTTAACATTCACCATTTGAACCCCCAGGAGCTTTTCTGCTCCTTGCTGTGGTCAGGACGTGGAGTCTGACATAACTTTTTCTGCTTCATGAAGTCAATCATCAAATATTCAAATGAGATTTTTTGATTTTTTTTTTTTTTTTGCATTTTGAATATGCAGATGTTCAGCAAATGCCAATCTCAGCATCCAAAAAGAACATAAAATTTCTTTACCATAACTAAAAAATAAAGAAAGCTTTCTCTTTAGTCAAAAGTAGAAGAATAAAGCATAACAGCTTAAAATGGTTTTACTAGATTAAACAACTGTATGGAATGTGATACTTTAGACTTGATATCTGCCTAAACATTAAAAAGTTTGGTCTTTAAGAAAGGTCTGTGTGTCACAGAGAAAGATCAGAAAAAGGATTATTAACAGTGTTTTCTGTTAAGGAGATGTTCAGCAACGTCCTTTATGGTATTTCTTTAATGCTGACTAAGCAGTGCTCTTTTCCTTAACTTGCAGCTTTACTCATGTCCTGAAATTTTACTGCTAATAGGACATTAAACATAACATTCAGAGGGACTTCATTCTGCTGATGCAGAATGTCTGAAGCTGGTTTCAGGATTCATTTCTAAATATAATCATGTCAGATGTAATGGATAAAAAAATAGTCTAAAGTTATCGCAGAGATCTCTGCTGTGTTTCTTATTTAATAGATGCAAATGAAAGCAGATCAGTTTGAAATAAGATTATATTAAAATATTTTATTGGACACAAAATGTGTTAACCTGCTGCTAAACATGCTTATTTCTAATTAAATTAATCTACACAGAAGAAAAAAAAACTGCTAAACTCCAATCTCTCTGATTTAATATTGAAAGTGCTCCTGCTAAACCATCCTGTTGAGTTTTAATGTATCTGTGAGAAGTCTTATGTGCGTGTTTGCTTTCAACCTTGCGCTGGGCGGCTCGCAGGGCGTCCACTGTGCTGCGCAGCGTGTCCCTGTCTCTCTCTAGCGCAGCCCTCTCCCCCTCCAGGGTGGCGATGACTGTGGTCTGCATCCGGTGGAGCTCCGCTTGGCTCCGCAGGCGGCACAGCTCCTCCTCCATTGCCAGACCCTCCGACTGAAGGACCTGGAGGAACAACAGGGAGAGAATCACAAAGCTGCAGGACTGACCTACCTTTATAAGCAAGTTATTTCAGTTAGCACATCTTAGTTCCTGTTCTTGTATAAACAGCCCTAAATTTAATAAATCAATAAATAAAAACACAGAAAATTCCTCACTGTAGATTTATTGGTGAGAAAAACAAATACAACCTTTGAGATTATTCATTTTAAAAGCAGAACAATCATTAGAAGTCATCTCTTCATTAACATATGGCCAGGGGGGTGTTTGTTTTGGACAGATGAGACTGATTTTAAGCTAGAAACAAAGATCCAAGGTAGACACTGTGTTCTAAATAAAGGATTAAAATGTAAAGGACATAAAGACACTGCTAGGTATTTGAAAATGTTTGATGATGTTGGCTATTCCTCTTCCAAAAGGACCTGGGAAACTTAGGGCATGGTTTATAAGACGGTTTAACATGAGAAATGTTGCCATTTGATCTTTTAGCTGGATAGTATTTTAAAAATTTATTCCTAAAGTTGACACAGCAATGGTTTAACGGGCACAAAATCAATCTTCTTCCTCCAGACCTAAATCAGTATAAAACCTTTGAGTTGAGCTAAAGGAGAGCATGAGAGGAGCCAGGACTCTTCACAACCCAGAAAGATTGTGCAAAGAGGAATGATCAATGATCTCCCCATCTGTAAGCTTCAACCTTTTGAAATGTTAATCAAAGAGACCAAAAGGTGGCAGCAGGGATACCAACAATGATGTCACCAATGATTTTGTGTAAAAACGATTCTTAATACCATATTTTGCCCCCTTCTGAAAAAAATACCAAAATCAAATTAAACGCTATGTATGTATGTATGTATGTATGTATGTATGTATGTATGTATGTATGTATGTATGTATGTATGTATGTATGTATGTATGTATGTATGTATATAATATTATCCAACATCAGTAAGAGGGTTAATTACAATAAATGTTGCAGTGTCTGCAGCAGGTGAACTGATACTGAAACTACTCCACAAAAAGGATCATAGAATCAAATCTCCTTCGTTATATTTGTTATACTTTAATCTTCTAGTTTTATTTACAACATTAATGATTTTCCAGACAGTTTTTCATAAACTTCATTCTAATATACATAGATCCATGAACTCACTGACTGTTACTTTAAAGAATACAAAACCCACCTATTTACCTAAGCCCACCTTAGGTAAATAGCAAAGATTCTTGAGTAGTTTATAAAAATGGACTTCGGTTTGACAAGAAGTCCTGCATCAGCAATTTTAAACGTCACTTTGATCAACTAAGAAGTAAAGCAGTGATGCTCCAGCTACATTAATTTTACATTAGCACGAAAGCCCATAACTGCATAAATATTGATTTAATTTATCACTTTTTGGGCTGGAAATTTTTTCCCAATGAATAAATACACTCTGATTAAACAGCAGATGTTTCTGTGGGAGATTGAGCTACTGCAATAAAAGTTATGTATTTTAAAACTTTAGCAGGGATGCTGATATTCGTAGAGGGTGCTGTACTTATGAATTAGTGGGGAATACAACTTCAACAATTTTCCAGTTCTAATTTTCACTAATATTGTTTGGCCCTTGTTTTTACTACATAAAAGTTGTTTTCTTGTTTTTAGACATCTTATCGGCCCATAAACCAAAAAGACTTTGAAATTCTTTTAGTTTTTTTTTTTATTTATTTAGTGATTTAACTATTACTACCTACCTCTATATGCCTGCGAGCCTCTGCTAGATTCTCTCCGGCTTTCTTTAAACGCTGTAGTTCAGCCTCCACTAGAACCAGCTTCTGCTCGGCTTCCCATGTCTTCCTGCTTTGCTCCCCGAGCTTCGTACGCAAATCCTGAGCTGACTGCGCCTGGCGATCGGCCTCCTCCTGGATCTCCTGAAGTCGGCTTTTGAGGAGCTCCAAGCCAGATGAGGAACAGACATCGGGTTGTGTCTCTGAGGTGTCAGTCTTCTCTTCAGTTGGGTGCTTTATGGTCTCTGATTCAGTGTTTTCAACCTTTGGTTCTTTCTCCTGTTTCTCCAGTTCCATCTGTCCACCTTCAGCCTCCCCCCTCCTCTTGGTCTTGATCTTTTCATCACAGAATTCTCCTTTTCCCTCGTGAACACCAAAACCCTCTTCACCCACTCCTGCTTCCCGCCGCGTCCCTATGATTTCTCCCCTTTTCTCCCTTTCATCAATCAGCCTCACCCTTCCTTCCCCAACTCCCCTGCTGGTTTCAGAGCCCTGGACTCCTCTAACCACCTCTTCCTCCTCCTTTTCTCGGCCCAGCTTCTTTACACCTCCCTCCTTGCTCTTCTCTTGTAGGTGTTGTAGCTCCATCAGCAGCTCTTCCAGTCGCTGCTTCAGAGTGTCATTTTCATTCTTTAAGTTCTGAAACTTAAAAAACACAGTAGAAGAGAAATGTTAGAAGCACCTCAGAGCTTTCTGCCAATTGAAAGGTCATAGGGAGTATCATCAAATCCAGTTTTTGTTTATGAGCCCCATTCACAACACATGTCAGCACAAGGCACTATACAGAAACATTTCAACCAGATCATCCAGTCAGATTGGTCAGTGTTCTGTCCAAGGAAACCAAGTGGATCGAGTCATTGACTCTATAGGATACGCTTCCTCCTGTATGAGCATGTGGGGGCAGTAGACAGTTGCATGCCCTGAGGAATCGACTGCAACAATCCTTCACACCGAGTGTGTATACATCCTTTAACAGGAAGAAACTCCAACAGAACCAGGCTCAGTGTGAACGGCCTTGTGCTAAGGCAAACTGGGGGTCAAGGAGACAAAAATAGACGTACAAAAGGAACATAGAAGCACCGATCTATGAATACGTTCTAGGTTAGAAAAGGTAACGAGCAGACGAGCTCAAAGCCAGCTCTTGTGTCAAAAGGATAAGAGAGCATATACAGTTAGTCACAGTAAAATCTGAGCCTATGTTTAGAAGAAAAAGGGACTAAAATCTTAAAAACAGGCCAAAACTGCAGCATGTATAATTTAAGATGTTTATTACCACCTAGCAAATCTGCCCTCTCGGATGGTGTATCAACTAAACAGAGCACCAGGGTTAGCTAGATGTAGCTACTATGGTGAGAAAAAGCTGAGAGAATATAAAGCTAGAAGTTTAATTAACAGATACTGTAGAATTTAAAAGGAAACATAGAATGAAGCAGAATTGTGTAAATTGGTGTCTATGTCTTCCTGCAGTCTAAGGCTATAGCAGCATGACTATAGAGATAGCTAAGGATAACCTGAGCCACTATCTATAAGCTTTATTAAAAAAGGTGTGAAAGTGTGAAGCATAAGTTTGACAGGGAGTCTGCCACATGGACTAAAATCAGTAGTTTGTAGTTCAGGAAAGCAACCCTGAGAACTACTGCAAGTAAATCTGCAGTTTGAAACAAGGAATAATCAGATCTGTGTTATGAAATATGAGCTTAATAAAAAAAAGTTACTTACTATAAAATTAAACCCACTGATTTAACATATAAGTTGGTTTTAAAAAAAAGCACTATATTTACAGTTAACTCTATTTTTAAAAAAAAAAAGCATTGCAGTGCAGAAAATAGTAATAATAAAGACATGCTTTAAACGTCAAATGAAACATGATTCATTTGATTAATTTGACAGGTCCACCATCATCGATCCGCAAAGGCTGATGTGACTGCTGTAGAAATATTACATCTAATTACCATATTCATCTGTCATAGAAATGTAAACTGTAGTATTAATCACTTTTTCCAGCAATACTCCTATTAGATGAGTGATTTTCTCCTTCCTAGTGTTTGACACTAATGGTTAGTTTGTATTTGGGCCACAGATGCAGTTTTCATCACATTCACATCTGAAACCCAGCAATCAAGACGTGATTTAAATCTAGACTGACAGGTTTTTTTTCCAAGTGCTTTTTAAAAAATAAAGATACTGCTTTAACAGCTGATGATGAGCGAGTATGTTTGTGGGTTTTTTTTTTTTTTGTTTAACTTTGTCAATAAAAGCTCCAAGTCATCTTGATTGCTTACATTTGAATATATTGTGGTTCACCTCTCACACATCTATACAAGAATTGCTCAAATCTTTTAACACCTTTGAGTTACTGACATTATACACTCACCGGCCACTTTATTAGGTACACCTGTCCAACTGCTCGTTAACACTTAATTTCTAAGAAGCCAATCACATGGCGGCAACTCAGTGCATTTAGGCATGTAGACATGGTCAAGACAATCTCCTGCAGTTCAAACCGAGCATCAGTATGGGG